AATAATAATAGTTTGAATTTCTAAAAGTTTCCTTTCTGCTAGTCAAATCTGGTACCCAAAGAAAGATCTTCCTATGCCCTACTATTTGCTGTAATTTTCCACAGAAATTTGTAATTCGCAAGAAATAAGATTTTCATCTGTAAGCCAACTTTTTTTTATTAAGGGATGCAAATTTTGTAGTTGTAGGAAAATGACAAATTACAGAATTTACCTTAAAAAAACCAAACAAACAAACAGATCACTTTTTCTGCATTAAACATTGCTGTCTTACCAATGCAATCACCTCCATCCCAGTCACATGCTGAGTTATTACAGGCTTTATCACAGTAACCATCTTTAATCCACGAGCCAGGACATCCCTCAGCACAGTTTGGCACAGGCCAAGTCAAGTAAACCTGGAACAACATTACAGTGTGAGACAAGGACTGGCAAACAGAAGTCAACTGATGAGCTTGTTTCTTGGAATACAGAGACTTAAAATTATGCCTCCTTGTGTATAGTGCCTTAAGTAATGATTCTGTGATTTTAAGCATTCACGAAGCTTTACAAAGAGCATTTAAACCCCATCACCTCTGAAGTAAATGTTATCCCCTTCAAACAGAAGGAAGAACTGAAGAAATTCCAAGGCCATACAGCAAGGCAGCAATGGCCAGAAATAGAAAGCAGGACTTCCCAAATCTACTTCTGCAAGCCATATTCCAAGGAAAATTAGTATATTATCTTTTGTGAGATAAGAAGGGGGAACTTAAACTCTGAATTAACTCTGCAGTTCACTTGTTCTCCTGACTCAAAATGATTCTTCGTTACTAACCAGTCATGAGATAAGCAGCACATGTTGAACATAATCCCTGAAGCATCTGATCCTCTATGACTTCAACAACTCTAAGAACTGCTAATATGAAAAAGAAGTGTGTGTGAGGTGTGTATTTTCAACTGGGGAGGCATTAAAAGCCACACAGGTTTTCCTTTAAGTGTTATTTCAAGATTTTAGCAACACACTTCCTACTGAAACACTGATCATGTTGTCAGAAACACCACTGTACCTAAGCAGACATTATCACCATAAAGATGAAGAATAACAGCAGAAACACACTAACAACTATATTTTGCAATTATATGCCTTCACCTGCATGATGCGTTTAATTCAGTGGTCTACAGTGTCTTGCGTACTTACTGCTTTAATATAAATAACAAATATAAATCCTAATTTTTTTCCTCCATGTCGCTCTTGTAGATCAAGCTCATGGATGAAAAAAACTGCTGGCAACCTGTCTTTATGCATGACTACTGCTAATGTTTCCTCAGCCTGCTTTCCTTGTTTAACCCCAGTTGTTGATATTAGGTCTGCTGAAAGACTGCACTGCTTGATGTTCATGAAGATGCAACAATATATCTTTTAGTAAATAATTATATACATGATTATATACAGACTGGGCAAAGATATTGTGGGTGTCTGGAACCGAGGTAGTTAATGGTAAATCATGCAGTTTGAATGTAATCTGACCTCAAGCATTCCCATGGAAAAATTCATTCTGTTTTGTTTTGAACATTTCCCACCAAACAAGAGTTTACCAGGGAGAGAAGACTGACAACTGCCAAACACCACAGTCTTACCAGTGCTCCAACAGAAAGTGGGAGAATTAGATGACTACACTGATAAACTAATGCATGAAGGCCTGACAGAGGAACAATTATACCACCAGAAACCTGTGAGTGAACACGAATAAAAGTAATTCTGCAACCTAAACATGAACACTGTACATGCAAAAAAAAAGGACAGGGCCCTCCCCACCCTGCACCTTTGCTAACAATTGTCTAGTTAAAAATAATGAGCCTATAGAGGTCAAAGGAAGAGCAGGGAGCAAAGGAAAATCTTATATTTGCTCTCCCTTTCAAAGTAGTATTTCTTTGACTTTTTAATATGTCAGCATAGCAAAGTTTTACATCTGGTAAAAAAAAAGCTTTCATAATGGCTTACCTTTTGACCTTTAGAGTGACTGTAAAAATCATCAGGCCAAACATCCTTTCCAAACATAACATCGTCATTGAGATAGATAAACTTCTGAGAGAGGCCACTGATCCGATGAATGTGACTTTCAATAGCTGGTGAACTGAAGGTAGGCAAGTGACTCACATTCTGAAATATTTCCTAAAATAAAAAAGCCCCAACAACCCAAACACTTTCAGAAGACACAAATAAATTAAGAAAACAAACAATAACAGGTCAAGCACATCAGATGTATTTGATAATTATCTACTAAAAAAAATTTTTATCAAGAACAAGGAGATGAAACACAAAAATTAAAATATTTCAGCAAAAAAAGAAAAAAAACCTTTGCTATCTTCCTACACAAAACCATTTTCAAGTCCGCTGCTTAACTGAAACTGTACCTGGTTCAATGCAAAGACAAAAACTCCTCTTTCACTGAGTACTGGATCAGGCCCAGTGTACACATATTTATACTTCTCATGCAGTACAGGCTGCACAAAGTTTCAAGCAAGTTAAACCTGTTCCAGCATTCAGAAAGTGAGGGTTCTTCCAGCTCTTTCAAGTGACTTCACAAGCAGACAGCAACAGAAGTTGAGTTAGTATCTTGTTACCACTTAGGTTGCTCAGGGCTCCTACAGCACGTTCAGATACCAAAATTACTCACGAATTCATAATAAGAATCTACTAGAGTATTTTTGTTTCACTTATTCAGGAAGCTTAAGGGATTCAATTTCTCTTTTTAAAGAAACATTTTAGAACACACAGCTACTTTTTTGCAGCAGTCTTCTTAGTTCCAGTAATTGTAATCCATCCTGTCTCAACACAAGCTTCTTAGGTTATTACTGGCCTTGAGAGACTGTTTATGGATTAAGATTACACTTTTCTTCCCACCAGTTTTTTAATAAATAGACTTCATAAAGAAATTAAACAAGGGTATGCTTTAGCTGAAGTCTCAGTATTTAGAAAAGTGGACTAAATGAAGGCTTGATATATATTCAGTTATCTGCTTAGCCAAAATACAAATACTTTCTGGGGTTTAACAAAACTATGGATGACACAGGGAAGAGGTGGTCACTTCTACCTTCCAAATAAATGCAGCCTTTAGCTGAAAGAGAGTAACTGCGTTTCAAAACAAACAGAATTTTTAATAGTGGCACTTTCATGCTGGTATTTTATTTTAATGGGTTTTACCTGATGTGTCACTATGGTTATCCGAGGATTATCCAGGTTAAGCCACGAAGGAATCTGCCCATTAGTGACAATGAAAATATGTCGTACCCAAGGGGCATGCCTCTCTATTGATCGTAATGAGTATCTCAGCTCTTCATTATCTTCAAAACGGCTGGCAGAAATATCTTCATCCTGCTTAGACTATAAAAAGAAAAAATCCTTCCTTAGATTTGAAATAAAACATTCAATTTCTGATCCGGTTAGGTAACAACAGTGTGGTTTAGCATACGAGTGCATAAGCATTTGAGAACAGACATTCAAAAGTAAAAGTACACTGATCAAGTACTATTCCTTCATCTAAAGGATCATATTCTTCTGAACTATCAAGGTAAACAATACAATATTCTGACATCAATTGGCTGACCACGTGGTATCATTAGGAAGTCTGCTGCCCACACTACAATATGACAGTGCCTTGTGTGATCCCAGCTCTTGAAGGATGAACCCAAAAAAACCCACACTATCCTGTTTTCCTGGAGTCTCAATTATTTCCTGATCTTTATCAAAAGCCAAGTTGCATTTCAAATCAGTAACGTCACCTTTCAGAAACCCAGTTTTAAGAGGCTGGGTCCTTCCAAGTACATTGCATCATAAGCCATATATAAATGTCACCTAATATAGGTAGAGTGGTAGTGCCAATGTAGCAGCAGCTCTTCAATTATCTCCCGCTCTTTTAATTTAAAGACTTTAAGCAGGAGAAAACTAACAAAACTAAGCCTAATATTCAATATCAAATGGCTAATGTTTCCATATGGTTTTTGTTAAAAAAAAGACATGTTAATTAGAAACTCATCAGGCAAGTAACAAAATTATGTTACATGACACTGTAACATATGTTTCTTTTCTCATTTATTAGAACTTAATGATCTGTTTTTAAAACAACAATTACGGCTGCCTAAAAGGAACGTATCTATAAGAAGTAAGCCCAACTGAAACAGGAAACTCAAGAAAAGTTCAAACATTAAACAAATACTGCAGATCATTCACACTGTAAATCAATCTCCTTCTTTTCTAATATGCAGAGTAACACAGCTCAGACATTTTCAAAAATGTAACATCCAGAAGTACTTCAGCAATACCGACATCCATTGGCTAGGTACCCATTTACAATATAATGCATAATTTCAACATGGGGAAGTATAAAATTAGAGTTCAGGGTTAGTATTGACAAAGTTCTCCAAGCCAGGTTCACAGGAGACAAAGACAGACCCCAAGCTTCACTGAACAGGCCACAGTAACTTTATCCATGCCACTTGACATTTACGGTAAAATTAAATTCTAGCAGGAGAAAAAACCCCAAGATATTTAGAAGATCTTATCTTGAAACAGACACCTTCCATTTTGTTTCCTTTTGCTAAACCAAACATTCTTGCTTGTAGGAAAAATATTCAAATTAAACCTCCTTTTCTCACAGACAACTGTATTTCAGTTCTCCAAAATTTTTGGAAGAGAAGTAATTAGTCCTTGCTTAGCATATATATGATGCTGCAAAGCAAAAAATGCATAAGAAACACATTAGGAAGGAGATAATCATGTTTATTAACAAAGCTCTCTGTCTCCCCCAACACCAGAAGCCTCTCTATCTGGCAGTCAGTATCAGCTAAGCATTTCAGGACTTGACTGCACACAACTTTACAGACCATGTGCACAGGGCAAAATTTTTCACTTGGTGGAGAATGTGAAAATTTCAATTAAATGGCAGTCTGATCCTTTTTCGTCCTTGATTTCAAAATGTGACAGTGCTCTCACGATGTTTTCTTACAACATAATAAGTATTGGATTCTCAACACTTCCAAGCTTCTGGAAGAAATCCCATGTCACTGACCCGTCAGCCTTTCTCTGTTTGCATCTTTTAAATACTACAGCCTTCACATGCTGCAACAGAATTTACATACCTGACTGACAGAGCTGAGGTCCCAAAGTAAATAAGCAGGATTAAGCGTCAGTTCTTTCCCATCTATAGTCATGTTCTTCTTTGCTTGCTTGCTCAGTTCTTGGAAACCTTTGGGGTTATTCAGTTGCAAGAGAGCCACGCTGGCTTCTGAATAGAGCTGCAACTACACAAGCAGAGAAAATAACATCTGGCATGCACTCACAGCAGCACTCTTCCTTTGCCACTTCCACCTTTTTGTTGTATTTTTCTTACTAGAGTTACTAATAAGAACTGATACACACTCCTTTTAAAGAGCTACCATTTTGTAAAAACACAAAAAGGGGTAGTAAAATGGGAAATGAAACACATTTAAAGATACAAAACCTTTCTAGATGCCTATTTTTCACTTTTCAAAGAAAATTTCTCTTTACACAGTGATCCAGCAACAGTAAAGCTGTCCATGCTATAAATATTTCTGAATTGAATAGTAAGTCCCCATCCATTCCCTCCCACCTCCAAATAACAAAATTCATATTTTCTTACAACTTTATTATATGACTGAAAGAATCATACTTTTTTCCATCTTAAGCAATGCTTTTCTCAGAAAATTAAGGCCAACAATTCATCACTGCTGCCAGAAGCGTGAAATTTTCAGAATGGTTTACAGATCAACCTACAGCTCAGAAATCCAAGATACAAAGGGCTCCAGAACTAATCTGTGTGGGTCTCCAAGTCCTTAATGCTGGTTGCCAATGTGCTGTTAAGGTCATTTCTTAGTTGGGTACTGTTTGATCTGTTTGCTGGTTTTATCTCTTGCCACTGGTAAGTCTGTATATCAGATTTCATAATGCACAGGATAAGAAGGGGCCTGCACTGCGTGCCCTCTCTAACAGCTAGTATAGCTTACAAATTGCAGAGCACCAAAACATTTCACTAGCAATATAGCATAACCCAATAAAATTCCTCATTCACTGTACGAAGTAGCATGAGCTGACACAAACAAGCTAGAAGCAGAACTGCTCTTTGATTCTTCAAGTGCTGCATTCACCAGTTAGACTGAGAATAGATGCAGATTTAATAAACGCTGTTAATGATTAACTATGCTTAATTTTTCTTCCTTCATGCAACAGAAGACAAATAACCACATCTACTGGATTTTCAGTTGTACAAGATCTGTAAGAGCACTTCATAAATTAACAAAATTTGAATCCTGTCCCATTCAAAAACAGCAAAACCATCAGTTTATTTCACAATAGCCTTGTTACTTTTTCTCTCTTTTTTTCACTAAATCTGACCCTTTCTGCACATTTTAAGACAACACTTGTCCCAGAGTCTGCACCCCTTCCCTTAGCAAGAGCAGCTGCCCTTCTTGTGACATTTTAAAGCTGTTGATGCTTTGACTCATATGCTATTTTAATCTTTCAATCTGACTTACGAGGCTTGCCATTAGAAAAATCTGATAAATCTCAGACCTTCCAGGGAATCATCTGAACCTACGGGTGGAAAGGATGGCTTCAGTAACTAAATGGCTGAGGTATAGTTACGGACTGCAGCTAGCCACCTCCAAAAATATCAGTATCTAAATGCTACAGATTGCAAAGCTGCCTGCCATCAGTGGGTATGTGCTTTATTTAGGAATACAACAGTGTCACACGGTCCCTTAGAGTCTATCATTTAGAACGTACATATAACAAACCAAAACCATTACCATTCTAGAGCTTTGAAAGCACTTAAGAACATTTAGTTTCTCTTTGTTTCCACCAAAGTCAACAAAATAGGCACCTGTACTATGGATTCCTAACTAGATTTATTATAAACACTTCCCCTTCCTCACTGTCCCCCGCAGTAACGCAGCACATATACTGCAGGTTTTTAGATATGTAACAGTTGAAGCACAAAAAAGAAGTACTGGAAAAATAACTCCGAAGCTGAGCAGTGGAGCACAAGATAATCCCTATATTGAATAGATTATTTTTATTACATCTGTGGTTGTTTTCTTTTCCACCAATACCTTTTTTTAAGACAAGTTTTTTCATAAGCAGGGCTACCAATAAAGTTAGATTTCAATGAACTTATCTGGTGACATAACTAACTAGATTCTAATACTCTGCAAGCTCTGCTCATTTTCTTGCTGGTATATTCAAAATGGAGTTCTCCCCTGGCAGATTTTCTGATGTCTCACAGATATTATCCTCCTCTCAGTGGGGACGCATCCAATTGCCCGTTCCCTTGAAATATTATCTTCCAGAGACATCTTCATCCTGACAAAACAGGCCAGCAGATCCAAAGATATTGTGAAAATAAAAGAGAAACACAAGCAGGCAGATGCAGAGTCAGCATGATCAGGCAAGTGTCTGCTTCCAACACAAGCAGCCTGAAAAGACGTCGTGCAGGCAACACGCACAGACCCCCACCCGTGCACATTTATATCCTGTACTGGAAAACAAGATGGTAAAACCGCATTCTCCCCACCAGGAAACTGTAAATGCAGGTTGTTTTTTGGAGCCAGCACATTTGGCAACGCTTAGACTTACTAGAAGGCAGGCCAGATGGGCTAAGCCATCCCTTGCAGAAGCAAACACTTTCATTTCCACTTTCTCAAGGTAAGAGGCCTCAAAAGCAGATTTTTTTTTTCCTGAGGCAGAACTCTTAACCAGTCTTTAAATTATTCTGCTTTATTTTCTTAACAGCCAAAGTTGACTGCTAAGGAAAGGAGATGCTCCTTTTTCCACACTCTAGTATGGATACTGGGAAAACTCATGCTCATATAGCAAGGGAAGGGGGAGGCATATGCTGTGTCAGTTACAAAAAGCTTTACAAATATGAAATACTGTTGTCTTACCAACTTATCAAGTTTTCTTTATAAGGCAGCTAGTAGGAGGGTCATCTCAGAGCCAAAACCAATGCAATACTTCAGTTGTTTTTTTTCTTCTCTACAAAGCTTACTTATTACATCTGTGTGAACATACCCCACTAACTCCTGAAGCCACCTGTCTGCTCCATCAGCACTGACAAGAGCAGCAACAAGAGCACCAGATCCCCTCACCTTCAAAAGCAGTGAGGACAGCAAACACTCAGCACCACCCTGTCTGCACGTTCCTGTGTGGATTTTCTTCCATTAGTAAGGTAAGGTCATTAAGAAACATTACAGCCTTTAGTTTCCAACACACCTCTTCCATATACTTGTGCACATGCAGATTAAAGAGGAAATAATGTTTTGCAAAGGAAGAAGATCTGCAAGCTCTCAGTATTTCCTGAAGCAGTTAGGATATTAAATCTTGAAGGAAAGTCACCTTTCTCCAACAATTTTCACTACTGCATACTATTTCAGTGAAACAGTGTTAGCATGATAGCCGCAAAAAAATAAAATTAAACAAATCAAATCCCCTCATCCTTTCAAGCTTTCCTTATGTCACTACCTAGTTTTTAAGCCACAAGCATCTTTTAGACCGAACAATGATAGTTTTCTTTTGAAATTCTGGTAAGGGGGGGGAAGAAAAACTGATGAATTTTTTTCAGTTGTTGTTCTTCATGTATAGGTACAATGTAACATCTTGACAACTTTAAAGAAATATGGCTTGGCAGCTGACAGCCGCACAACCAGAGTAACACCTCCATCTAGTGGCTTACTAATGCACCGTTAAGAAAGTGTGCAAAATAAAAAGCAGCCAAACAATTTTGAACTACACCTGTCATAACACATACAACGCAGAACACCAAATGTGATCAGCAGAGACTCTGCTGCTTACCTTTCCTCTGGAAATAGACTTTCATTATCATTACATTACAGTGCAGGCCGTAAGTACAACATTTCAGTAGACTGCAACATATGTAATTCACCTTTGAAACTTATTCATTATATAGTAAATCTTCACAATTCAACCCCGTAAGCTGCTTTTCTCAGAGATTTTTAGAACAAGAAACACCTGGCCCAGATGTCCAAGTAATTTTTGGTCCTCTTTGGATTCAAAAGGGATTTCAATCAAGTGAACAAAAGTAATCCAATTAAAGCAGCATTACCAACAATCAACACAAATGCACAAACAGTTACACTTTTCCCTTTCACACCTTTCTATCTTTCTTATAGCAGCACTGTTGTTGTAATTCCACTTACTATTTCTTTACTTCCAACATTGCACTAAAACAGCCCCTTGGAGCATACAGAAACCCATTAAGCATCAGGAGGCAGCTATGAGACACAAAACTCAAGTGCAACTTTCTTTCTCTCCATCAGGTATCTCACACCACTTCACAGACATCAGATTCCAGAAGTGATAGCAGCAGACAAATTGCTGCAAATTTCAGTGGAGACTAAAAAACCAACTTTTCTGCCGCTTAATTCTAGCATTAACCTAGCATTTCTCTCCTTGGTAAGGAGAAAAACCACACTTGGTCACGTTTACCATTACTGCCTACCTACAGCTTCCACTGAATGAAGAACCAGTTCTGAGTTAGGATCTTAGTAAATGCTTCTGTAGAAACCACCTCATCAATGCTTCATATGTAAAAATGTTTATCTTTGCAAATAAAACTTTTCTTACATTTATATCCATATATTGCATTGTAGGTATAGCATGAATAAACTGCTACTATCAAGAGCAGAGAACTGGTTGAGGAAGAATCCACTGCTATGACCACACAAGGTACAATAATCTCAATTTAACTGTTCTAAATCATCTACCACCAGGAAAAGAAACACAGGCAGCAATGATAACTGGATGGAGAAGGTGCAGAATGCTGGGGATACATGGTGAAAATTGTGTTTCTACAGAGATGTGCCTAAGCACAATGCAGAACAAGGGCTCTTAGATAACAAATTGACCACAATGGTAATGTTCACACAAAGATAAGAACACATCAAGAAAAAGTGACCCAGCACAGAAAGATCTGTGAACAACTGGATGACAGATGACTGCCAACAAGGAAGAAAACAGAACTGAGACAGAGTAATGAAAAAACACATAGAGGCACATTAATAGGCATGTAGAATAGGCACGGGATGCCGCTTCCTTAAAAACAGACAAGGAGATGTGAGACATATCTAAGACACCCCAGAGATGCAGCCTTAATGTTCACCTGGAGAGCAGTGCAAAACCACAGAGAAACTATAGCATTTTTAATATTTACTAGTTAAGCTAGTGATCAGCTTGGATACAGACCACATATTAGTCAGCTGCTTGGACATGAGAAGTATAACTGAAACACAAGAAGAATCCATCTATCATGTTTTTTGTTGGACTAATACTGCTACGAGATCCTACTGGAACAGAAAAAAAGATGAAAGGGGTCATGTGATGAAATGGAAAAAAAATGAGTGCAATCAAAAAATTAGGAGTCCCGACAGAATCACTCCACAAGTCTTAAAACCACACGACAATAAAATAACAGCAGCTGGCTCAAAAGTAATTAGGAGAAACCTGGGTATTTCACTCAACAAGGTGGCCATGAAAGATGGAAGGTCTCACAGTACAAGAGACATGAGCTTGCCTAAGAATAAGGTCTGTGCTTGACAGATTTACAGCAGAAATTTACAAACTTCTCAGTGCAGGAAGTGAAAAATAAACACAGGAGTATTAAGTAGAAAAAGCATCAACACTGACTTGAACAATAGTTAGATAATGCAATTAGAGAAATAACCACAACTAATGAAGTTAGAAAGTACCTGGGGAGAGGTGGGGAACAAGGGGAGGGGTGGGGGGGAGGGAACAGAAAAAAAACCCCATCACCAAAACAAGTATTCTTATACTAAAAGAGTAAGTTTTAGCAGCAAAAAAATTTAGTACGAGCCATGACAACAGACATCACATGGAAGAAATGAAGGTGAAAACATCAAGGACAGAAAGGAGGATTCACGAAAGACACATAAAAGTTACTCCAACAAAGGAATATCGAGTGTTAATGATACAAGCCACCAGAACTCAAGAAGTCACACAAAGTAGGGTACTATGGAGAAAAAACACTCATTTAAGTAAAAATAATTTTTCAAAAAGATCATAAAGCAACATCTGGTAAGAGAACAGAGAAAGAAATTCCAAATATTGTTTGAGGGGGGAACATTCCACAGAGCTATGTTACTATTAGAGCTTGAATCCATGATGTTCAGACAGAGTACAAACATTACTTAGGATGGTGCCCCAATATATTTCCCAGATGTGGAAACAGACAGATTTCTTTTCAACCACATAATCTCTGAACTGAAAAAGGCAATATTATATGAGATACCAATATGGTAATTAATGAGAATGTTACAGAATTGCTGCTCCTAGAAAATAACCCTAGGTCAGGAAAACATAAGGTAATTAATTTTAAACTAAAACAGAAAAAAATAATTAAGGAACATCTTGTTAATAAATTTCTTGAATGCTAAAGGGCAAGTTTAACAAATTAAAAGAGCTGGTAATTGAAGTCAAAGGTATTCTGAGCTCTTCAGCTCCATTAAGCCAAATGTGTTAAAACTACCAGGAACCTGTAACTGAACCTGTGGTGATGAACTAGAAAAGGCTCCAAATGTAAGTGGATGAACCCGCACTGAAAGATTGTTCAGATCACTCGAATTCAGGAAGCATTCAGCCATGTTCCTCATGCAAACCTAGCACGTCTAACAGCAAAACTAAAGTATCATCTTCATTCAGACAACAATCTCATTTCTCTACAGTAAGCACCATTCCTTTAAAGCAATTAAGGAAAGATCTATGGCATGTAACAAGCAGAGACTGGCAGACTGATCACATGAATATCCACTGCCAGTTAACCAATGTGCCACTAAGAGAGAAGGAAGGATGCTGTGGCCATACCAGAGCACATCTGCCATCACTCATCCAAATCAACAACAGATTCATGACAGCAAGAGACAATTTTTATGAACAGCACCAATACCCAGCAGTGGAAGGATGCAAAGGAAATTATGTAGAAACGGTAGCAGCACTGTTTGCAATGAGCACAACTGAGCACACAGCAAGTCTCTGACGGTCTGCTGGCCTTGGGTTAGCTACGTACTAGGTATTTTTCACTGTATAAAAAGTTCTGGTGATGCATCATTTAAAATGCTGTACAAAATTCCAGTCAACGGTGTTGAAGGCAGACAAATCCACAGTGCAAGTGGCAGGGAAAGGCTGTCAGAAGGATGAAAGGAATGGAAAGCCAATGCTGTGAGATGAGCACTGTCTAATTAATGTAGTAAAACAAAGGCTATGAAAAGCCATAGCCACTCTATGAATATATTAGAGGTGTACACAAAGGCAGAAGAAAAGAGCAATTTATACTCAAATAACTGTTTAGCAGCTCTCTCTATTATGCTGGTTAAAAGTATGTAAGGAAAAGAGGTACAAATGTGTTGACATCTGAACGTTTCTACCATCAGTGAGACTTTAAGACAGCCTGTTAACACAAGCCCAGACAAGAAGGAAGAAATTCACCTCCCATTTAGTTGCAGTGTGACCAGCCTATGAAAGGGGTTACACAACATCATGTCTGCAATAGCAGAACACATGATTTGTAAGCCTAGCCTGCCAAAGAAAAAAAAACAGGAGACAAAGAAAGGAAGTCATGCTCACTCAAGCACCAAGAACAAGCAACAAGTAAATTAGCACATCCTACAGGTGGGCATCAGACTAATGAAGACAGATTACCTATGGACTGACATCCCTTCACCCCTGCTAACTCCTTCTCCTCCACAAATGACCTGGCCTCAGCACCTTCCACATCACCAATCACATCTCTCTCCAATACATAAGCCAGTGATTTTCAGACTTTTGAAACTTTTACCTATTAAACCTGGCTGTAACTGGAAAAGGTGTTCAATGGGCAGAAGGCACAAAATGCTAATGGCTGGCACAGTCACTCAAGTTGTGATCTACTGCTGCCTTGCAGGTGCGTAAGTTGAAGTGCAACATGCTCAAAGATCATAGAAAGTACTTGGCAGGCAGAAATATAGCTGTGAAACAATCCAGTGCTGTTACTATTAATTCTTCTAAAAGCAAAGAGGTAAGAAAAAAGCTAAGAAGCTATATAAACAAAATTCTGTCACATTAGGTAAGACAGTGCTATAGTACACTTCAGCAAGACAACAGCCTATAGCAAATGGCTTGAAGAAGGCTGATGCAGCTGGTACTTTTTTATCAGTTGTAGGCTAGCAACTTTTGAAGGCAACTACTAGAGTGACTATTTACTGGTACTTTTTTATCAGTTGTAGGCTAGCAACATTTGAAAGCAACTACTAGAGTGACTATTTATTACTCTTCACAACTCAAGGAAACTGAGTTACACAGAAAAACAGATTACTATCAGAAACACCCTAAGTCTCCTAGGTGGGTGAGATCCCATACGTGAACCACTCCAAAAAGAAACAACTAAGTCACTC